CACACACACACACACACACACACACACACACACACACACACACACACGACAGTGGGTGCCACCACCCCAGCCAGTAAACCCAGGGCAGCAGGTCACAACCATGACGAGGCCTGAGGGGGTGCCAGGTGCTATGCTGGCCACTTTACACTTAGAATTTCACCTCTTCCATCTGTTTTCGCTCAAGCTCTATTGTCTCAAATGGAATGTATTGTTCTTGTTAAAAAGCGATCAGAAATGCAAAGTAAATATGAAAGCCCTGCAGACCTCCCTCCCAGGGTGAAGTTCACAGCTTCCCAAATCCCATCTGAGGCCCGCATTTCAGGGCTATCACCCATTTCCCTAAAGAAGGAATAATCTTCTCCTTGCTGGTGCACGTCCTGCTTTTCTCATTAAGTGACATACTGCGAGCACCTTTCTACAGGGGGATAGGTTACTATCTATTTTTCTTAATGGCTGTGTACTTCTCCGTGGTGGGGAAGACGTTATCTGGTCAAATGTCTATTACTGGACTTTAGGTCACTTTTGGTCTTTGCACTATTACAAATGGTGACACAATGGACATTTTGAATTTTCAGTTGTTACCCAATTACCTCCCTAGGATAAACTTCCAGGAGTAAAACTGTGGGATCAAAAGGTATGCATTTGACATTCAGATAATCAGAAAACCTGACATTCCACAAACACTGCCCAGGTGCCCTGACTCTCCAAACCCCTATGGACATTCCGCTGGGCAGTAACCAGTTACTGTCATTTTAAATATATATCAGGCTATTTGGTTTTCTTTTCTTTTCCTTCTGTGTGCCCTTTGCCTACTTTTCTACTCTGAAATAATTCCCATTTTTCTTACAGATATGTGACAGCTATCTTTAAAAGATATATATATATATATATATATATATGTACAAAGGTTATTAATCTCTTGCCATATAGGCTGCAAACTACCTCTCCTGTTTTCCACTGATCTCGGACTTGTCATTTTCTTTTACACTTGGCAGTCCTGCTGGCTCCCTCCCCCGCACGCTCCGTGAGCACTGCGCCTTCACAGCTTCGCTCCATGCCCCCCACCCACACCCACACCCCCATCAGCTCCAGGCCACTGCTGTATCCTAGACTACGATGTAGGAGTCGGGAGGACAGGGGCTGTGTTCTCATCACTCCTGGATCCCCAAGAGCGTCCCAAGTGGTGTCTGCTGAATGTATGGATCACAACCCCCTCCTTACTGGTCTCTAGCACCTCCACCATATCCTCTCTCAGCGTGGCAGCCAGACTGACCTTTTAAGGATATAAATCAAAGCACGCTCCCCAGTACACGTGGAGGCTGGAACTGAACCCCTTTTTTAAGGCCCGCCCCCTTCTCCCAGCGTCTCGAGCCCCCGGGCTGGTTCCTGGTCTTCCAGGGCTCGGCACGCCGGGTCGGGTCACCTGGGCCTCGGCGCTGCGGCGCTCCTCCCACTCGCGGCAGCTGTCCAGGTCGCGCCGCCACTGCCCACAGGCCGGCCGCTCGCCGTGGACGTAATAGTGGCGGAGGAAGTGGCCGGCGCTGCTGCAGAGCTCCCACTCGGCGCGGTAGGCCTCGCACGGGCGCGGCGGCTGCGGGGACGGGGGAGTGAGCTGGGGACCCGGTGAGCGCCAGCCCGTCCCGCACGGACGGACCCGGTCTCCGTCCTCCCGACCTGGCCCCGCGGGTCCCCTGGTCCCACCGCACTTACCTGCCAGCCTCCACCTTCCGCCATGTCCCGGGACTGCCTAACCCGCCTCCTGAGCCCGCGGACCGCCGCGTGACTGATGGGCGGAGGGACTAATGAGTCCCGAGATCTCACCACTAACTCCTCGCCCATCTCCTTGAGACGCGCCACTGAACAGGACGTCCGGGTTGGCAGCCAATAACAGTCGAGGGAGGGCGGGGCCTGGAGGCCTGTGTGGGCGGGGCCTGGAGGCTGGGGCGGAGCCGAGGCCGGTGTGGGCCGGGCATGCCCCCAGGGTCACCAGGCCCGGCTAGCCACGCGGCGGAGGTGACTTCGGCGTCCCCTCGAGCCGGCGGTCGCTCGGCTGCACATTCACGTCCAGTGGCCGTTTCTGACGGAACCACGCGGCTCGGGCAGGTTCGTTCCAGCAGCTTTATTTTCATAATCTCAAAGATCGGTTCATTTCGTCAGCACGCACCGGAATCAGTGTCGCCACTCCAGTCCTACGGCTGCATTTGTCCCGCCTGTGTCCCCTCGAGGGCGGGGTGACTCCCAGGTAGGAAGCGGGGGCCCACGGGCGCGGGCACAGCGCAGGCTGGCCAGAGGCGCGGAGGCTGTATGGCCCGGGGGACAGCAGGACCTAAGGGTGGGCGTCCGGAGGTCGTGTTAGGGTCGAGGCTGTACTAAGGCAGGGAGACATCGTTTCTCCATGGGGCGATGCGCACGAGGCAATGACAGCGAAGGGGAGGAGGCTGGTGGGCCCGCAGGACCGCCCTACGACACCCCTGCAGTGGTTCTCCAACTGCCGCCAGCCTAGCCACTGGCCCTGGGGCCCCTGCAAGGCGGGTGCTGGGCCCCCTAGGAGTGAGTCCGGGTTAAGCCAGACAGCTGCAGTTTCACTAGGAGTCCTGCCACGCTGGGTCACAGACCAAGCTTGGAGAAAATGCTGCCTGAGAGGAAGGATGCAGGCCAGGGTACAGGCCTACAAGTGGCACCCTACCGTGTCACCAGAAGACCCACCAACAGGGTCCACCCCTGGCCCAAGCAGGGAGTGCTTTCCTTGTATACACTGTGGGTGTGGCTCAGGGAAGACAGAAACCAAGGGCCAGCACACTACATAACATTCATCATGTAATTGAATGATGTGGTAGCCAATGTTATCCGCAAACAAGGCTGCCCACCCACCAAGGAGGGTGTCTACTCTACTTCTGTCAGCGACCAAGACTCCTGAAGTGGAGGGCCAGGTAGGTTACAGAGTGCCCATGCCTTCCAGAACCACTTCCATTGCCATGGGTGTGGGTTTGGGCCACAGGGCCCAGCCCTGGTCATCATGATGACCTTTGATGCTCATTCTCTGAGGACATGTGGGTGAACCCTGGGCTGGCGTCTTGCAGGGGATCATCTCCTGAGTGTTGAGGGGAGCCCTGTCCAGAGATGGACCCCTTGGCCTACAACAGGAACAAGGGGAGCCCCTGCTGGGCCCGACCACCCCCACCCCAGGGGTCAGAGAGCCTCGTTTCTCCCTACGCTCCCCAGAAGCCCCCAGAGGAGTGCTTTCCTAAGGGCAGGGTGGAACGAGGGGCCCCTGCCAGCAGGCCTTCCTCCTGCCCAACTGTCAATCCATGTTGGAACCTAATCAAACACTTAGAGGCAATTCAGGTTTTAGTCACTGCCTGTTTTTATTTGAAATTCTTGATTTAGAATTGTTTTCAAAGAGAGGAAAATAATTGAATTAACATGTCGAAAGAGCTCATATTATAGAAATTGAAGACCTGAAACTAAATTAATACTAGTAAAAAAAATAAAGACAGGCCAGCAGAACTTTGGAAAATTTAATACATTAAAACTGGGAGTGGGGGGTAGGAAAGGAGAAAGAACGTATCTTTAGCTTTCATTTATTCTAATAATCACATTTGTGCTTCACCACAAAGTTGTTTTACAGTAGAACAGATTCATTAAGGAGCCAGTTATTTCCAAATGAAATCAAAGTTAGAAATGCTTTCAGGTCGAGTTTTCCTTCTGAGGAATGGTTTCTTGGGGGGAAAAAATCAATATGTAAAATAAAAATGGAAACACCCTTCCTCAAATACTTAAATTGCAGCCAGAGTAATGGGATGACCACTATTTATAGAGCACTTATCTGTTTAAACCACTTTTTTCCAGGTCAAAGGCAACAGCTAAGCTATGACCTGGAGAAAGAAAAGATAAATGAAAAAAAGAGAAAGACCACCACAACTTAGAGCAATTCAATCCCTTCACTGGTTTTTAGCAGGAATCAGGGAACTCTGCTCCAGCTGAGGCTGTGGGCATGCCCCGAGGGCTGAAAGCAAGGAGCGTGAGTAAGGGATCTCAGAGACGGCCTCCTCTTTCCCCAAATCACGCACACAAACTGCTGTCCTGCTGTCCACTTGCAGGTGAAACCTGGTAATTCTTAGGTAACTCTAAACAGACCTAAAGTGACAGAGTGTCCCTGTCAGAGCCAGTAACTAAAAGCCAGCATGTTGCAATTATTTTATTTTCCAATCAGCCAATGGTCCCAACCTATGGCTTTCTTCCCTTTTTACGCAGAGACTGTCCTTCTCCAGAGAAAGCGACGAATCTGCCTCCAGCGTCATCCTGAGTGTGAAGAGAAAATACCATTTTCAGAAACTCCTTGGAAGTTTAATAAGAAATGCTTTATTCTGTTGACTCATGTACCATCTGCCCATTTTCCTTACTCTCACATTCATAATAAGAAATGTCTTTGAAATAGAAATGCAAGTTATAATCTACTGAATTGAAAACAAAACCATGGAATCACAACTCTGTCTACCATAGCCTTTTTTCTCAGGTTGAGTATATATCCTTTTGCAAAGGTATTACATTTTCAATGTAAAAAATACACCCCCTAAAAGAAAAACCACGCCAAAGAACATTTCCAGTCACTGTTCTGTATATGCTTACATAAACTATTTTCCTACTTAATTCCCCAATCTCAAGGCAGTGCGCTGCTCTCGTTCCCTCTAATTCTATTCCGTGGACAGGCAGTTCTGCCATCAGCTGTTACTTCCAAGTCTGCAGTATTCAAGCTGCCCTGGCAGGCAGCTGAATGTCTCTACACACAACTTTGATTTTCCCTAGAGGTTGAACTCCTCGTTAGAAGGCTGCTCTTATTTTTGAGGCTTTTTAAAATGGTGACTTAGCAGCTCTCACTCTACCAAACTATCCTCCCACCAGCAGAAAGACGGCTTCTTTTTTCTGAACCCTCGAAAACACCAGGCATCTTTCCACGAGATTTGCTGCTAGTCAGGGGAAGCGTTGTCTGTGGAAGAGGATCCTGAGCTCCCCAGCACACCCTCCCCCAACACCCGGCCCACCGCCTAATGCAGCTGGTGTTTGCAGTGGGGCCCATACAAGGTTCATATGGTGGCGACCATGCAAAGGTGAGTTGTGGCTGAGCCAGGCAGCCTTCCCTTCCTTCAGGGCCCTCCGTCTGTCCTGCTGTCAACACAAGTGTTCTCTTGTGAACACTTCACCCACTGGAAGAAGGTGCGTCTTCTGGGAACTTCGGTCTGTCCCACCTGGATGGGCTGCTGCCCCAGGGCTGCACATTGCTGTGGGGATGCCCTGCTTCCTGGGTCTAAGGCTTTCTGACTTTTTTTTTTTTTTTTTTGGATTTTCTTACTTCTTATTCCTTCAATTCAGTGGGTATGTCTTCAGTAGCTTCCTGAGAAAGGGTGCATGAAGAGATCTTCAGGGACTGAGAATACCTACCTCTCCTCTAATACGGCTCACTGACAGGGTGGTTGGTGTTAGATTGCTGGAACCACCAGAACAAATCACAAGCTGGGGGCCTGGGGAGACATTCACCTCCTCACAGCCTGGAGGCTCGGAGCCAGAGATTCAGGTGCCGGCAGTGTGGTCTCTACTGAGGCCCCTCTCCGGGGCCTGCAGGGGCTGCCTTCTTGCTGTGTCCTCAGGCCTTTCCTCTGTGTCCACGTCTCCTCAGAGGGGAACGTGGCCCATCTTAGTGCCCTCCTTTTAACACACTTCTGTAAAGACCTTATCTCCAAATACAATCACATTTTGAGGTGCTGGGGTTAGGGCTTCAACACAGGAATTTGGGGGACACAATTCAGCTCATATAATTGGGCAAAGAATTCTGAGGACCCTGCTCCACTATGTCCTGGCTTGTGTCTGGCTAAGATGGTGCCATTCGTGACCCGTGGTAGAATCTCCACCTCCTGGAGACTTTAGCGTCTTTCCTTTGCCCCAATTTGGAGTTGTTTCCATCCACTGCGCTGGATGCTCAGTGGCCCCTTCTGACCTGCCAACGGGGCGTGGGCCCCTCCGTTTGGAGCAATTATTTCCCTGGTGGTTTCTGCCCCTCTGGTGTCTCTGATCTCCCATGACTGGGCGGTCTAATGGCAGGCTGTGCCGGGTCTTTCGAGCAAGTTTCCAGCACCTGGGAGAAGTGCCCACAAGACGGAAGCTCCCCTCCCTGCCCCCCGGGCCGCAGGAGGCCGTTTCTGGAGTGCGGAGGCACTGAGATGGCCGTGCAGTGGTCAGGAGCTCTGCCCCTGACCTTCATGCACTCTCAGGCTCACTCCTGGGAAATGCAAACAATCACAGCAGCTGTCCCAGGAAACTGTCCTGGGGATTAAATATTTCAGTATAGAGCACGTGGCCTGGGGCCTGACACCCGGCAAGGGCTCAGGGAGCTGAAACCTTGCTGGTCACTGCCGCAAGGGGACACCAGAGCCCTCACAGTCTCGACAGTTGGACCACTGGGGAGAGGAGGGGCCCCAGAACAGAGAAAAATATGACAGAAACACCCTCATTCAGAATGGAAAGACTCTCCTCAGTCACCAGTAGCCAATGAAACTTGTCATGACCCATGAAACATACTCACCTCTTCAACCTTTTTGACCAGTGGACGTGAATTTCTGATGAACGTGATCTTACCAAGTTTAAATTCATAGTTGGGAATTCCTCTATAAAGAAGACAGAGCAGAAGAAATGTTAGTGTCAGGAGAAGGGACTAAAATCCATTTGTGACCATCTGGTCCGTGGCTGTACCCACCACCCCCCAGCCTCAGGCCAGCCCACGGGTGCCCCCTAGCACCCCCCCAGGAGGGAACGGAAGGCAGCTGGGGCAGGGTCTGCAGGCTCAGGGTCTACCATCTGTGTCCTCCAGCCTCACATGCCCCCCTCCAAGGGCTACACATGCACTGAACTCACTTCACTCCCTAAGATGCTGCGTGCAAACCCGTTTCTGGCATTCTCCGTGTGCTCTCATATGGTCAACAGGGGACAGATCTCATCCCTGCCACAACCATGCAGGCCACCAGAGGAGGGACTCTGCTGAGAGTCCCTGGACCAAACAATAGAAATACAACTAAGTGAGGCAGCTCCTGCCTCCTGAGGGAAGTGGATCAGTTATTTGAAGTCACAAAGGAGGAAAATGGGCATATTACTAAGTCGGAACCAGAAAGGTCAGAAGTAGGAAAGAGATCCAATCAGGGGCCGGTGGGGCTGGACTGCGGGGGTCTTGGGGAGAAGCCTGGCGATGATGGGGGGGCACCGATGCACTTCTGCCACGCTGTGTTCCAGCCCAACGAGGAGGGCGGCGGGGCACCCACACCCCCACAGAGCTGAGTGAGGCTGCCCCACTGTGGGGCCTGGGTCGGGTGGAGCAGAGCCAGGGCAGACCCACCTCTTGATGTCTCCGGGCTTGATTGGGGAGGGGCTGGGCTCTACACCCTTCTTCTTCCCATCCAGTCTATTCCCGGAGCCGGAGAAGGCCTAGACAAGCAGGCAGGGGGGGCCATGAGCTAAGCCCCAAGGGTAGGAGAGAACCACCTCGGGACTGCAGCACCCATGCCCTCTGGGGGCTGCTGGGAGCTGAGGGGAGCTTCCTGGCCCAAGGACGGTGCCTCCACCTGCCTCAACCCCCGGACGCCAGCTGCCAAGGAGGGGTGACAGGTCCAGCTGGGCCCACGGCTCAGCTCTGCAGACCTGCCTCCCGGCAGTAGGTTGAGCCATGCCCACCGGCCCCTCTCCGTTTCCAGGGAGGACAGCAGTGCCGGAGCGTCAACATGCAACTGACTTTCCAACAGTGCAGGACACGGCTTAGAGAGAAAGCAAGAGTGATCACATCTGGTGAATCTACGTGAAGAGTATACGTGTCTGTTGTACTAGTTCAGCTCTCCGGTAGGCTATAAATTTTTAAAAGAAGTTGGGGCTGCCTGGCAGTTGTTGGGAGGATCCAGAAAAAAGTGGATGGAAAAGGGTTTGGAAACTGAGAAGACGCCGGGTACACGCGTGCGGGGTCCCCCAGGCCTGCTCCCAGCTGAGGTTCCCAGGGTGTCACAGACATGGCAGGAGAACAGACAGTTGCATGGCGGCACTCACGCGGAAGCCCAGCTCCCCAGCATAGCTGCTGTGGTCAGCTTCACCTTCCTGGAAGGGACAGAAAAATGGGGATGAGCTTCTCAGTGGGGCCCCCAGCTCTTCCCTTGGGCTCCCTCACTGCTCCTGCTGTGCCCACACCCCAACACAGCTGGTACACACTGGGCCCCGGGAGCAGGGCTGGGAGGGAAGCAGAACGTGGCTGCCTCGGTACCAGTAGAGGCCAAACACCGCCAGGAGGCCAAGACACTGGGATGCGCTCCAAAGACCAATACCGGCGGTGGGGAGCTATGCAGAGCTCGGGAGGGACGCGGAGGAGCGACTTACGGCTGCCTCCTCATGCTGGGCTTGTCTCTCCGGCTCCTTGTAGCCCAGTGGAGCATCGAAGTCCACCTGTGTCCCCAAGAAGAAAGCACGATGAGACAAGGCCACACTCAGCCTCCGTGGCTTTTCTGTTCTAAGTTGGACAACTGTGGGTCCACGTGCAGTTGTTGGAGCCGATACAGAAGGGGCCTTGTACAGTATGCCCATTTCCCCAATGGTCACGTTTTACAAAATCACAGCAGAACATCGGCAAAGACAACCCAGCCCTCGTCCAGACGTCCCCAGTTTACACGCACACGCGGGTTTGTGTTTTGTTCTCACAATTTGTCATCACTGCAGGTCAGTGCACTCCTCCCCCCAACCCCCGGGTCAAGATCCTGAGCAGTTTCAATTACCACAGGGACCCCTCCTGCTGCCCTTTCATAACCACACCCTCTCCCTCCAGGCAACCTCACTGCCCTGGACCCCGGCAACCACTCCTCTAAACAGACCCAGACAGAACGGAACCCTTCTGCTGGGCATCCTTCCCTGAAGACCCAGCACGCTGGGCTGTTGTGCCCACTACTTGGAGCTGAGCAACCTTCCTCAGCCTCCAAGAAGACTCAGCCCCTCGCAGGGCTGAGATGCTGATGGATCTAGCCATCTCAGAACCAGCAGCAACCCTGCCACCAATCACAAGGTCAGCGGCCTCCTCACAATGTTCCGGCACCATCTTCCTCCCCGTTCCCCCAAAGAATCCCAGGGGTTGCATGACACCTGCCCAGGGCCCCCAGCCGCCCTTCCTCCCGCGGCCACTCACGTTCATGTCACACTCGATGATGGACACAGCCCTGTCAGGCTTAGTCTCCATCACCCGCAGCTCATAGATCTGGGGAGAGAGAAATCAGTCAGTTTTGTGGCAGCACTGGGCCCATCCATCACATGTGTCGCTGCAGCCCCCTACCCAGCTCCTGCACACACACGTCATTCACCTCCACGACACCCTCCCCAGCCACACCTCTTGCTGTGGAAAAGCCGCTGTGGGTGGCTGCCTTGATGCCTGTCACTTAGCTGACCACCTCTCATAAGCGACTCAAATCAGACAAGGCAGTTATGCAGCAAATTGCAAAAGATTCAGTGTTTACCCCAGGAAAGTTCACTTCTAAGAATTAACCCTAAGTAAATAACTAGCTAAATACTGAAAGAGAAAGTGCTCTAAGAACGCCTGCTCCAGCACTGCTCATGGCAGCATAGGCCGAAGATGCCCATCACTAGAATGGGTACATGAGTGGGGTGTATTCACGTGGGATCCCAGGCAGCCAGCATTCAGGAAAAGATGCTGAAAACCAGTTATGCTGCTGTGTGTCGAGGATGATCTCATGCATGTAAAACACACACAAAGTCAAAAGGATAGGAACTAAAGGTGGCAGAATGGACTTTTTCCTGCATTGTTTTAGGTTCTTTCTCTCTACCTAGAGTATGTCTTGCTTTTATAATGAATGGTCAGGACAGTCCCACCATTGAAAAATCTGAATATGAGGGAGATGGTCCCCCAAATACAGTGAGAAGCCTTGATGTCCCCCGTCTGGCTTTACGTTTACTCACTAGTGACTAATAGAAATGAATGTTTGTCGCTGTGTGGATGCCCCACCACCTCTCCACACAACACAGGCTGCCTCCAGTGGTTCTGCTGCTACGGACAAGGCGGCATGAACATCCATGTCTGTGGCTCCTGGGCATGTGGTCACCTTTACCAGTCAGCGTGTTTTCAAACTGCAGGTCGCAGCTAACTAGTGAGTCATAAAACCAACTACGCTGCAACCAGAACTAGTAAAGAAAAATACTGGAACACAGTACAGTAGAAATATTAGGCTATGTTGCACGTAGTTAAGGCTAAGGACTTTTGTGATATTTATGGTATATTAGGTGTTGTCATTCTGTATCTAAAACAGTAATCTTAAACTTTTACACATTCAACATGTATTTTTACTGATTTACCTTTATTGAAGTGTAGAGAACACCTGAATTCTAAATAACCCTCAAGACTTATTCTTTTCCAGTGTTTCAGGTGCCATCTTTTAAACTGCATTTATTAAACACTGTTATGGATTTAAATGGCAATGTTTACCACAATTTACCTCACATTTGCTGGTTTATTGGTTCTTCCCACACCTTACTCTTTCCTTCTAGGCTAATGCTTATTCCTAAAGCACATGCTTGTGAAGTTTCACTGGTAAATAAATTCTCTCAGATTTTATCTGAATACATTTTGATTTTACCCTATTCTTTTTTTTTTTTTTTTTTTTTGCGGTACGCGGGCCTCTCACTGTTGTGGCCTCTCCCGTTGCGGAGCATAGGCCCCGGACGCGCAGGCTCAGCGGCCATGGCTCACGGGCCTAGCCACTCCGCGGCATGTGGGATCTTCCCGGACCGGTGCAGGAACCCGCGTCCTCTGCATCGGCAGGCGGACTCTCAACCACTGCGCCACCAGGGAAGCCCTACCCTATTCTTTAAAGAAGGTTTGATGACAGTTACTTTCTTGCAGCCTCTGGAGCTCCTCTGCCGCGTGGGGAGGCAACGTTTGCTATTGACAGGCCTGCCATGTGCTGTTCTTCTCTAAGTGCTGGATCTCCTCTGCTCATCTCTCCACGTCTGGTGCTCGGCACCTGTAACTACCCGGCCTGGTGGACACTAAACTCCCTGTAAGCGTGAGCTGTAGGCCAATTCTGGAACAACTCCACTCATCTCTTCACAGTAGTTCCGCCCTCCGTTCTCTCCCACTGGGGTTTTCACTGGGCACGTTTGGTTTTCTCAGGATCTCCCAAACCTCAGCTGCTCACGTTGCTGCCGTGCTTCTCTGTGCAGACACCTAAGTCACTCCTGCAGATTCAACTTCCCCTTCGCTAATCCTTTGTTGGCTGTTGTTTAACCCTCTGACTGCTTTTCAAATAATCCTGGATAGTTTGGATAGACTTTTGCTGCTTGCTAAATTTTATGATTCCATTAAAAAATTTTTTTGAACATTTTTTACATAGTTATTTTATCTTTGCACCTGAAGGTCCCAATTGTGATTTCTTAAAGGCCTAAATCTGCTTTTGCTGTCTTTGCTTTGGGTGTCTGGTGGTCTTATAAGGAGTTCCTGTTTGCTGGTTCAATCTATAGCAACCCTGAGGGCTCAACGAAACTGGGGGTGCTGTTTTCAGAAAGCCTGGGATGAGGACAGCACCCACCTCTGCATCTATTTTGGCCCCTTTAAGGGCCCCAGTTTCATATGGATGCCTTGATCCAGACCTTCCACCATGCACTGATGTGGTCATTTGCCCTCTGCACACGCCTGCTGAGTCTTCTCAGAAGGGCCCTTCAGAGCGTCTAGTCTTCTGTACTTCCAAAAGCAGAAGCCCAGACGTGCATTTCAATTCTATGTATACCTGAGTAACTCACCTTCCCTTTCAGTGCAAAAAGGTCAACGATATCTTTCATCATCAATTTTTGTTTCAGCATTTTTTACTGCCTTAATATTTTAAGAACAATGACATTAAGGCTGCCTGTAATTAATCAAGAAAGCTTGGGATTCCCTGTGGCACAGAGGTTAAGAATCTGCCTCTCAATGCAGGGGATACGAGTTTGAGCCCTGATCCAGGAAGATCCCACATGCCGCGGAGCAACTAAGCCCATGCTCTGCAACAAGAGAAGCCACCACAATGACCAGCAAGCACACCGCAACAAAGAGTAGCCCCTGCTTGCCGCAACTAGAGAAAGCCTGCGCCCAGCAATGAAGACCCAATGCAGCCAAAAAAAAAAAAAAAAAAAGAAAAGTTTAACGTGTTCAGCTAAGTTAGACAATACCTAAAACGTCCCCACGAAGGTAAAGGGAACAAGATTATTAGTTTACAAAAAAATATAAAAGTGTGTTTCAAAATCCACAAAATTGAACAGTAGGATTCTTAGTATCGGATGCTTCAAACAGAAGGAAACTGTCAGAGAACACGATGGATCCCTACATGACACCGGGGAGTAACTGGCGTCTGATCCTGTGTGTGACAGAGAGCGCATAGTCTTCTGTTCACAGCTGTGAGGGCCCCGGCATCTGAAAGGCTAAGACACTCACCTTCTCATTGTAGTTGATGGCAATCACATCCCCGGTGGTCAGACACGCAAAGTTTCTCAATGCGTTTTCTAACCTGCAGACACACACTGTCAAGGCAACATAGCAAGATGGAGCCCTCAAATCTGAAACAAGTTTCCACAAGGCATTTAGAGGATTGGGTCACACTGTGTAACGGACAGACGTGTGCCCAGCTGGGGCTCAAAGACACGTGGCCATTACTCAGCAACGAGAAGGAAGCAGCTCTAACACATGGTAATGGGGTGAACCTCACTCTGGGGAAGAACCAGCCACAGAGCAGTGAGACCCCCGCCAAACCCCGAGAAAGGCAGATTTCTGAGGTGGGAGGCAGCCGAGGCTGTTGGGGCTGAGGGTTGGCTGAGGATGGGCCTAAAGGGGCACAAAGGCCCTTCTGGGAGGACAGCCAAGCTCTGAATACACAGGGGATGCATCTGTCAAACTCGCTCAAGTGTACATTTTACTGCATGTAAATTACACCTCAACAAGTTGATTTTAAAAATCCTATGGGAGCACAGGGGGAAAAAAAAATTGAAAAACAGATAAGTCCCCTCAAAAGTCCCCCAAAAGCAAAGATGTTTTCATTTACACTTTTGTTGTTTCTATCTTTTGGGTGATAACCATATTTAGTGATATGTTTCAAATAAAAATATTTAATAATAAAAATTTTAAAGAAAAAGTAGCCTGTAAGCCCTTTTTATAATAGTAAATAATAATAAATTCTTAAAAATTGAGTAACCCAAATGCCCAGGCAAGGGAATAATGCCCAATCAAATGGAATATTTTAATCATGTCATCCTCGTCAATTTACAGAATTGTTTTAAATACAAAGGTCAAACACAAAACATGGCTCCAGATGTGCCACTGAGACGCAGTACACCTGGGTGAGAGGCTGAGGGCAGAGGAGCCCGTGTCTACGTTCACTTCTCTTTGTCAAACGGCCTCCCTGGTTGCTAGCAGCTTCATGAAGAGTCTGGGGTACACGCCCTCTTTGCCCCCCTGTGTGCAATGCCAGCTGCAGGGGTGCCCTTCCCTCGACGACTCCTGGTGACGCTGAGCTGCTGGACGTGGCCCCCAGGGCCCGAGGGCGGAGCCAGCTCTGCACTGCCTGGACTCAGACCTTGAGCAGAGCCTGGCACACTGCGTCCCATGGAAGGGGCACCCTTTCTCTGCAGTCACGAGTAACTGTGCCAAGAGACACTGTCTCTGAAAGCAACATGGTAGTGTGTGCTCCAGCACAAGCAAAAGGACTCCATACCGGAGAACATACAAGGGGCTGCAGTGCAGAGGCCGGCAGGCCCCAGTCCCAGGCATGGGCACTGTCCACACCTGCTGTGAGCAGAGCGCCCAGTACCCTGTATGCCCAACACAGGGGGCTTGACATGCCCGTCCACAGACACGGCCAGCGGAGGCCTCCACACAGCCAAGTGGCATCTGGGACATGGCCAGCAGCAGCAGCGTGCTCCTGGCTCTGGCTGGGGACAGGGTGCAGGTGGGGAGGGTGGAAGTAGCTTTTTTTTTTTTAAACAATCTGTGTTGTTCAACTGAGTTTTTTACAAGCATGCCTTTTTAACAATAAATAGGTGGAGTGACCACACACACGGCTGGCTTACGTTCAGAGAACACACAAAAAATCACTAAGACCTGATGCCTTTGCTTTCCTCTGCTGAGAGACAGAAAACGTACTAAGACAGGGCTCCCCATGCCTGCGCACAGGGGAGCTGAGAGGCAGACGAGCTGCCCTCCGACCAGAACACACTGGGCTTTTTGCCAGCGTCATCGGCCACCCAGAGGAAGGGCTCCACCTGCCCTCCGGGAAGCGTCCAGAGAGCGCTCAGCATGCTCATGAGGCCCCTGAACCATGTAGACGGGCTGGCCCCACGCCATTGTTCTCATGTCACAATGTCAATCACGACAAGTGTGTGGTCCCCAAAGCAGGCACAGACCCAACCAAGGGCTCACTGTCGCCCACCACCAGCTGGCACAGCCCTCCCCAGCTCAGAGGAACACGTTCCACTTCAGAAGGATACACAGCCTTGGGGTTGGTGATGTCCAGGAAGTCGGGGCTCTGGGGCTGGAACTTGGAGTACGTGGCTACCTGCAGGTTGACGCTCTCTACCTGAACCAGGCCCCCCTCCTCCAGCAGCAGGTTCTGCATCATCTGGAAGGGGAAGAAGACAGGAGGCAGTAGGGGTGCGGCCAGGGCCACCACAGTGGGAACGCCTGAAGAAACCACTCGCTGGAAGGGTGCCAGGTGCGAGCTCATCCGCCAGCTTTTGGCCTCCCAGGGCCGGAGCATTTCCACAGGGATACCTCCCCCCACCCCCACTCCCGCAACTTCACCTGACTCCCAAGGCCCCAGGGCCAGCTGGGCTACACTGGAGGCGGGAGGATGACAGCCCCAGGCAGGCTGGCCTTGCCAGGGACAGCCCACAGCCTAGGCCTTGGGTGTCTGCTCCAGCCTAGGCCTTGGGCATCTGTGGAGCCACCCTATCAGGTAGAGGTCAGATGAGAAATGAGACAGAGAGACAAACATGGGCCCAAGGTCCTGGGGCACAGGGAGCCAGGACCTAGCAAGGACCTGAAGCTCGGGATCTGAGAAATGAGCACCCCTGCGCATCCTGGAATGTTTTTTTGCTTTTCTTATTTCAAACCTTCTTAAAAAAAGCTTCAAACGTACACAGCTAGCAAGGGCCACATGGGGAGCTCCACGCACCCACCCAGGTTCCACAGCTTTCAGGTCATAGCTGACCTCGTCTGTCCACCAGCGCCTGCTCTCTGCCCATCCACCAGGGCTGCCTGGAGCTCTGGGTGGGATGGAGCCTGCCACTCAGCTGACAGAAAGAAAGCACCTGCTCAAACACTCACTGGGGTCAGGAGACCCTCGAGCCGGCTCTGCAGCAGCAGCTGGGAAATCCCAGGCACCACCTGCTCCTGGCAAGAGCTGCAAGGCCAGCCCAGGAAGAGGATGGCAGGCAGCTCCATGCTACCTACAGAGGCTTCCCCGGGGATGGGATGTTTCCAGGCAAAAGGATCCAATTAGCTTTCTGGCCCAAAGTGGTCTGAGAGCCTGGACACGGGTCCAGCCAAACTCCAAATCTGCAGGTTGGAGGAAAAGCCTTACAGGAACAGTGTCCCCCCTTCTCTTTCACTAAGGACGGGCCACAGAGGGGCCTGGGGAAGCTTACACTGCCCAACACTTCAGCCACCCATGGCGCTCCACAGATAGTGGGACAAGGCCTGGTGCCTGTGACGCGAGGTGCGGGCACGTGAGCAGGGAACCGGGTTGGGTCTGGGCTTTGAGGAGTGACTAAGAGTTCCCCTGTGGTCAAGGAAGCAGCACAGGACACCAGCTGGGCTTAGCACTCAGGAAGGACCCAGGCTCAGGAGGGGCAATGGCCCAGGGGAAATGGGCAAGGGCAAGGTCACCACTGCAGGAGAGGAGGAACCTTCAAACTTCTATTCATATTTAATCTCAAAATATGAGTTAAGGCCACTCCTTTAGAAGGTTAGCCATTGCTGCGGCGGGGACCCTTGGCTGTGCAGGAGAGGTGGGATGCTCTTCAGAGCATCTCCCTAGCGGCAGGGAGGCTTTGGGGTGCGTTTCCAACTCCGCCCGCAGACTGAGGGGTCTCTGAGCACCCCGACATAAATGAGTATGAAGAAAAGGACACAAAGTCCCCTCTGTGGGTTTCCCAATGCTGAGCGTGCCAGAGCTGTGAGAGTGGGGGCTGGGCTGAGGGGGGAGGGAAGGAAAGAGCCAAGCCAGCCTTTGCCTGGAGACCCTCCTCCCTACACGGTCTAGAACACTGGGTTTCCGCATAAGACCTTATAAAGACAAGGGCCCTCAGGCACCTTCGAAGCACCTACAACACTGACTGTGGCCAGCTGTCACAGAAGACAGTGCTTAAGGTCAAAGGGACAAACCCAGGCCCAGGATGGAGCAGGGTAGCCGTGGGGCCCTCACACTGGGGGTGGTGGGGCCCGGGCCCCCCCAGCCCCGCCCCCGCAGACTTCCGGCTGCTGCAGGCTCCACCCTACAGTGCAGGCGCGCCTGCCTCTGGACATGGATGGCATTGGACCAGCCTAAGTGCAGAGAGCCTTCATTCCCATGGCAATGAGGCTGAGTGCTTTAGACAGACTCAGGTACAGACAAGTGTCTACACACACACACGCACACACACACATACACACACACACACAGTGACAGAACTGGGCAGACAAACTACTAAAGGGATGAGAAAACTTATAAAAATCTAAAACTCTGTACTCAAGACCACATGAAAAATACTCCTGCTCCATTGTTTTAAAAAAAGCCTGACACAGAAAATGGCAGTTAAGAACAGCACGGCTGTGGGTTCCAGGCCACTAGGTGAGCAGCCATCCCCAGCTCCGGGCGCACCGTGTCCACAGCCGCATGTGATGTTTGCGGTGAGGCGCCTCCCTCTGCTGCGGGGGCAGGACTGTGCACAGGCGGAGGGTGTCCCTGCCACCCCACGTGGCAGCCAGGGGCCACTCACCCAGTGCGGGAGGTAGCAGATGCCCTCGTCAGCCACAAACTCCAGCACGCCACAGTGCGTCATGCGGTCCGAGTTCTTGTTGGTCAGTTTGAACAGCATGGGGTAGGTGATGTTAAGTCGGCCTGAAACGAAGAGCAAGGCATGAGGCTCGGCTTCTTCCAGGGAGAGAAACCCTGTCCCCAGACCCTCCCCGGGGAAGTGCCTCCCTCCCCAAGCAGGCACTGGGACCTACGTGGTACTGAGCCCCTGGGTGTCTAACCACCCAGCAGACCCCGCACTCCTGCCAGACCTCAGGAACGTTCGCTGAGTCAGGAACGCAGCACCAGCTTATACTTTTGAATGTCGGAAATCCCACTTTTAAAAAGTGACGTGTTTGTTTATTCACGAACAGTTTAAGTGCCAACCAGGTGCTGGGCAAAATCCCTCCTTCAGAGGTTTCCAGTTAGAAGACCAGAGCATGCCCAGATGCTCGTGCCGGGGAAGGGTGGGGCCGGAGGCAGCACAGCCAGGATAGATGCTGGGGGATGTCCTCCAGGGGAGGAAGTCCAGGCAGAGAAAGCAGCCCAAGCAAAGGCATAGAGGGAGGGGAGCCAGGCTGGTTCAGGAACTGCTGGCAACCAGGCGAGACTGGGCACAGGGACCGGGTGTGTGAGCAGCTGGGGGGAGCAGGCAGGGCAGGACCGGTCAGCAGTGTGGGCTTGCAGCAGGGACCCAGTGTGTCCCCTCCCACCAGGGGTCCTGAGGTGGGGGCCATGTGTGGGGTTGGAGGCCTGCTGACTCAGGAGTGCAGGGGGCGCAGAAAGGAGGGGCTGGCGCTGCAAGGCAGGAGGACCCAGGAGAGTCAGTAACCTGGGGGAGCGGTCCGGGACAGACCGACAGGACCGTGTTGCCTTGTGCCATGCCCTTGCTCAGCCTTCACGGGACAGTGAGGTGGGTACTGTCCTCGCCCCTTTATCTATGGGGGACTAAGGCACACAGGTCTGGCAATGTGCCCCAGGGTCACACAGCCCAGGAATGGCCATGCTGGGGGTCAACCTAGGCCGCTGGCCCAGGTCTGGGGCTTGACCACTGAGACCAACTTTAGCCTGTAGATTTAGGCAAACGTGGCAACAAAAGTTGACTTAGTGGCAGGAGGTACGGTAGACTCCATTTGGGATCTCCCGAAAAATTTGGAGAAGCAAATTGGATAATGAGTCTGGGTGGGAGGCTGTCCCCCCATCACCAAGGGCGACTGGAATACTGGCAGTGGTGGCCAAGGGCCTGGACGCCAGGCCCTCCGTCACCAGGGCACCTCCCGGCTGTGGAGCCGTGGAGTGGACTGAGGTGGGTCAGGGTGAATGGATTGATCAGGCTCCAACCAAGGGTCCGAGATTCTTGCCATTGGAAGAGACCCCCATGTTCCTCAGTCCAGTAGTTTTCAAACTGCATTTTTTTGATTTAGAGAAGTGCCTTGGGGAGTCCGAGTCTTCCACACACCCTCACCTCCTCCGCCCTGAGCAGCGACCCTTTTTACAAACCAGGACTCCCCGTGAGATCTCATCTGGACAGCTCCTTCCATGACTTAAGAGGTCTGCACGGCACTGAACTAAGCCCCACTGTCCCAATCCCCCAGTCTCCTCTCATATCCACATGCCAACACACCTGGTCTTAGTCCTGGGTCAGCTCCACACATAAGGCAGACTCTCAGGGCCCTGCTCCCCGCTCTGGGACGACAGAGGGGACGACAGGGGCCTGCCTGAGGGCTGTGCCCCCCGCTCTACCCACCCTCTGGCAGAGCTAAAGGCCTCCCTCTGC